CTCTGATAATCAATGGACCAACCAAATCTATGGGCAGTATTGCCACGTTTTGATAACAGTTTTAACCGCCATTGAAAGGAGTTAAGGTAATGTTTATAGAAGAGAGAGAAAAGATGAACATAAAGGTAATGATTAAAGGAGAAAAATGTGACTAACATATGACATTGCGGGCGGTGAGGCGGGGGCAGCGCAGCAGGAGGAGCGGCACCATGAGCAAAGGTTCGGGACTGCGGCATGCCAGGTGGACCACTGTGTTCCCTGTTTTGAAGAAGAATGAAGAATGGGAAATTCATTTTACATTACCTTCCAAAGTTCAGTTTGTGAGTCAAAGGTAAAGGATACTTAACATACCGTTTTTTCCTTTTCATATTCGTGATTCGGTAACCCAATCAGATGAAGCAATTAATACTGACGTTTGGACTCAAATTCTACATTGACGGTTTCAGAAAGTTTCCAAATGCTTTCGAGGGAGTAGGCTCCGAAAAGGGTTTGTTAGACTTGCCTATCTGTTTTTCACTCGCAAACTTCCGACTATACCTATATTTATTCATAGTGATAAAAATTAGCAACTCTTATCTTGAAATCTCTAATTCTGTTATCATAAGTAACGTTTTGTGTATTGTTTTACAAATTAAGCTGGTATGAAACCAGAGACAGCATACCATTATTGTCCTGGGCGTCAATGTCGGCCCCTGCCTCCAACAGGACTTTCACTGCTCCCAGTTCTCCGTGTTCTACAGCATAATGAAGTGCCGTGTGACCTACGTCATCGTAAAAGGATTAGAGTTTTTTTTTCTGTAGTATCATTTAGTATTTAAAATTAGTTTATGAACATGGATCTACACACCTTGTAAGTCCTGAACGGTCATGTCAGCCTCATGGTTGAGTAAAACTGTCAGCACTTCCTCATGTCCGAACCAGGCAGCGTAATGAAGGGGTGTCATTCCTGCAAAGTTATATAAGTCAAAGTCAAGTCAAGTCAAGTCAAAACATTTTATTCCATTAATTACAATGGTTATTCTTTACATAAATACATTCATATCTACAGTTGATTATTTAATAGGTGTTCTTTTAATTTCGTTTTGAAATTACAAAAGCTATTAATGACTCATATTATCTGGTAACATGTTCCATAGCTTGGGTCCACGTATTTCCATTTGTCGTGCCCCTGTATCAGTCCTCGATCTCTTAACATAATGAGAGTTTACTTGGCGTGTCACGACACCTGATGTGGTCCCTACAGTTTGCAAGGGCATTAACCATTGCGGATAATTCCCATGAATGAGCTTGTAGATGAATACACATGTATCAAAACTGCATTTAGGTTGGATTTTTAACCATTTTAATTTTTGGATATGTGGGCTAATGTGATCAAGTTTACTGATATAACCTAATGCAACTCTTGCAGCAAAGTTTTGTAATTTTTGTACTTTTTGCATTTGTGTTTTCTTAGTCGAACCCCAAATATTTGAAAAGTAGTTAATAATGCTTAGAACTAGAGTTTGCACAACCATGATTCTAGTTTCAGTAGTGATTTGATTTTTTATGTGATTAAGATATACTAGGGTGCCCATTACTTTCCTGTGTATCTTGTCAACGTGTTCAAATGTCATGAATTTGTCTAAGTGTACTCCCAGATTATTCACTGAAGTGTTCTGCTTGATAGAGCAGCCTTCAAATTCTATGGTCGTGTCATTGGGAATTTTAGTTATATTCTGCCGGCTACCTATGTACATTGAGTTTTATGTGGATTTAGTTTATGGCCATTAGTGTTAAAATATAATTTTGCTTGTGTAAGGGTATGTTGAGTGTTTCTTATTAATGTATTCAAGTTGTTTACGGAGTCTATGAAGAAACTGTGAATCATCGGCGTACTGTACCAGAAGGCAGTTATGAGCTATTGTTGATAAATCATTTATGAAAATTGTGAATAGGATCGGACCTAAAATGGATCCTTGTGGAACACCAAAAGATACTTCTTGTTTTGATGACATACAATCTTTGATTCTTACCGATTGGGTCCTTGCATCTAAATAACTTTTAAACCAAAAGGTATCTATTTTATGAATTACTAATTTGTTGAGGAGAATTACATGGTTAACACTATCAAAGGCCTTAGAAAGGTCGCATAATGTGAGGAAATTCACCTGATTATTGTCTATGTTATTATAGATCTCATCAGTAATTTGTAGTAAAGCTGTTTCAGTAGATAACTTATTTCTGAAATCATGTTGCGTTTTAGATAATAAGTTATTAGCCTCCAGGAAACTCGTTAATTGATTTGCTACAATTTTTTCAAGAACTTTAGATAATATAGGGAGTATAGTGATAGGGCGATAATTATTCACATCGTCTATATCCCCCGACTTGAAAATTGGTGTTACTATACCATGTTTCCAAAGCGACGGAAAGACACCAGTGACCAGAGAGGTGTTAATAATGACCGTCAAATAGTGTGCACTTGCGGGTAGACTATCTCTGATAAAGCGCAAAGCAATACCGTCTGTTCCTACAGCATTTGTTTCGCGAAGGTGTTTTATTACTAAGATTATTGTTTCTACGTCCACTGGTTGTGGTCTGAAAAAATTAGTTGTAAACATTGCCCTATCTGTGTTTCGTTGTAATGTAGAAGCAGTTGTTTGTTCATAAGTTAGTTTTCCAATTTTTGAAAAGTGATTAAAATGTTCTGTGTTTTGTGTAGGACCTGCACAATCACTAGTGAGCTGTTTGTTTTGAGGCACTAGTGTTTTAACAGTTTTCGATGTCTTATCAGAGTTGTTCTTATACTCGGTAAATTTATTTCTGAAATAATTTCTTTTAGCAGATTGAATTAACATTTTGACATTTTAATTTTTTACTTTATAATCTACTTGAAAGGCAGCTTCATGTCTGTTACTTTTAAGAGCTTGGTGGGCTTCATTTCTATCGCAAATGGCTCTCTTGATGTCGTCATTTATCCATGGAGCACGTCTGACGATTCGTGTTACGTAGGGAGCCAGCGCATCGATGCTGATATTAATAACTTCCGTGAGAATAGTTACTTGTTTGTTTACATTATCTGTCGATGGAATATTTTTAATAGATTCATTTCTTTAGACAGGATAAGCTCGCGGAAAGACTGAGGGTCATAGTGTTTGAAATCGCGAAAAGTTTTTATTACTGGTGGTCTCTTTGTTTTCTTTATATTTATCATCATCGTGATAAGTTCATGATCAGCAACGTGGCACGGGGTGACATAGGAATGGAGAATGAGATCTGGTCTGTTAGTTATTTTTAAATCTAATAGAGAAGAGGTGTTTTCTGTAATTCGAGTAGGTTTATCTATTATTTGTTCTGATTTATTTTTCATAATTACCTATGCTAATTTAGCATTAGATTTTGTTAAATCATCATTTAGGTCACCTAAGATGAAAAGCGGTTTCTTTTTTAAGGACATTTCTCTAAAAACCTTTTCAATGTATTCAAAAGATTCCGAGGTAGCATGGGGCTGCCTATAGACAGCGCCAATAATGAAGGAAGGAAGCATGTTGCTTTGTACAGTAACCCAGACATCTTTTATGGCAGTATTGTTAACTGCTGTAGTAGATATCCTGTTTGACTTCAGGGTATCCCGTACATATATAAACACTCCTCCTCGCCCTGCATCACATCTGTAAACTATAAAATTTGGAATATTGATGAAATTACTGACCATTTCCTGGTGGAGCCATTTTTCACTTATGCATAATATGTCTATAATTTCTCTCCTCAACAAGCATTTTAATTTCTTCAAAATGCCCGAGGAGAGACTGAACGTTTATATGCTCTATTTGTATGACTTTTTGCGATCTAGTCATTGGTAACGCTGACGGCGTTGCCTGGTCAAACATTTTAATCGCGCTTGTACTTATTTTTGTTTAGGAACACTTTAACATTGTCGGGAAAAGTATCAAGAGTCTAAAAATAGTTCAGGTTTTATGTTCTTTCGTCTTACTGACACCGTAAAGCTGGTGTAGTAATCATGTCATCACTGTCTTATGGGCCTTGACACTTATGCTTTTAAACTTTTCGGATAGATGTTCTTCTATATCCTCTTCGTTTGTGTCTGGGTGACAACTGGTGATGTAAAGGTAGACTGTGTCAGGACGATCTGCTCCCTTTAACGGCTTTGGTGTTTGGTGTTCTCTGTCTCTTTTTCTCTGATTTCTTGACTTGACCTTGGTGTAACCGTCTTTATCAATATCTTGTGTGGGTTTTGCTCGTTCGGCATAGTTGTTAATGATGACTGGTGGTGCTGCTAGAGGAGGGAGGGCAGCGGGTTAGGCGGAAGCCCCTTGCACCTGCTGCTGAGCTGTTTCCTCCCAGTGGCGGTTGGGGTCGAGATGTTCTCTTTGATTGTTACTCCTGTTGTTTTTGTCTTTCTAAAACTCCGTTTAGGTGTTACTTGTGTAGAAGCTTCCACCTTGGTCTTCTTTGGCGTGTTGGTTTTGGGTCTCACGGCAGGAGGGCTCTTAGATGACTTTGGGGAGGCGGGGGCGTCTGTAGGGGCGGGGTCTGCTGGCTGGGAGCGCCGGCGAGGGGCACGTCGATGGCTAAGCAGAGTTGGAGGCCGGCGAGTCAGCAAGGGCGCGAGGGAGCTGGCTGGCCGCGGGCAGGGAGAAGGGGAGGGTATTGGAGGGGAGGATTGCTGGTCGCGGGTATGGGTATGGAGGGTGTGGAGGAGGGTTTGGGGTGGAGGTAGGGGGCGTTGTGACTGGGGGGAGAGATGTGAAGGGAAAGGTTTCATATGTGGTCTGATCACAGGTGGGGGATGGGAGGTAGGGGGGGATCGCCTCTTGTGTGGCCGATGCGTCCTCTGCTTGTTTTTGCCCTATTAATTTATTGATGGTCGACTGTTGTTCGGAAAACATTCCGATCAACAAGTCGATTCTGTTTTCAATCAGGTTTTGGTCCGTGAGGGAAGGCCCATTACAGGTCTGTGTTCCTTGGTCTGTACTCTATTGAAAGAACTTTACAAAAGA